TGTGAGGGTGATTGACAAGGACGTCTTCCCGTCGTACAAGTACCAAGCTGAGATCGAGAAGAACGGCGCCTTGGACGTGGACAACACTTCCATCATGATGGAGTACTTCAAGCTGAACCTTTCGCAGTCGAACGTGTGCTTCGCGACCATGAAGATGCTGATGGTCGAGCAATTTCGCAATTTGATATTCGTCGTCGGGCTGTTCGCCCAAGTGTTCCTGCTTGACTACGTGCTCGTTGACGAGTCCGAAGATCACCTCGAAAGCAGCGGATTCGAATGGCTGCTCTGCGTGGTCGCGTGGCAGATCGTGTCCTTCGCATGGCTGCACTTCTGCGACTACCGCAGCATCTCCTGGGGGACGGCGGGCATGTCGCGGTTAATCTCCAGCTGCTTTCGGCGAGCCCGGCCTCGAAGAGCAAACACCGCAGGTAATGTTTCGGAGGTCCGCGCGGATTTCCTGGATCGGCGGTGGGCCCCACCGGCGGCGCCTTCGTCGCCGCCGGCGAGCTCCGCACGCCAGAAAAGGGGGCCCAGCGCAGATCGAAGAAATCCGCGCGCATCTGAGAAAGTTTAAAACGCAGTTTGTCCTTTTATCAGGAGGAAAAGAAACACACAGACACAATTAATCATCGATTCCCCAGAAAATATGGCAAAATATGGGAAGTGGGGGGGAAGACAGAAACCCAGAAAATATGGGAAAATATGGGGAATCTGTTTATTTGTGTATTTATTTGTGTGTCCTGGGGCCCCTTCATTTTCACCGTTCCAGTCCAGCACTCGGGGTGGCAACTGTTCGAGGCCCCGGGTGGTGGCTTCTCGAGGAGCCCACAGAAGAGCCGTGAAAGTGTGACGCGTCGTGCAGTCCGAGGCTTTTGGAGAGCCGCATCCTGGGACGCGGTCTTCCGCATCGTGTCGGGGTGCCTCTCGTCGTGTTCGTCGTCGTCTTGCTCCCAGTATTCTTCTGTCCTTTCTCGGGGCCTCTTTGGGGCCCCTTGGGGGCGTCTTGGGGGCCTCTCGGAGGCTCTTGGGGGCTCTTGAGGTTCCCTTGGGCCGTCTTGGGAAGCTCTTGGGCAGGCTGGCGCATCCGGGGTTCGTCTTGGAGGTTTTTGGGGGTGTCCTTTGGGCCATCGTGCAGGCCTCTTGGGCAAACTTTGCAGTCTCTCGGTTTCTCTCGCGGGCCTCTTGGGCAGTCGTGGAGCCATGCTGGAGTCATCTTCGGGCCGTCTTGGATGAATGGCAGACCGAGAAGGTGGGGCCTCGGATAATATTTCAGGGGCATCGTGGGGGTTCTCTTGGAGCCATCCCGGGCCATCTTGGGGGCCCTGCCCGGTCCATCCTGAAAACTGGAAAAACACAGACCGTGGCCGCTCTCCGGAGAGTTCCAAAGAGGCGCCAAGGCTCGGGTCGGGCGAAAGGGGGGGATTGGGAAAGGGGGGGTTACGAAATTTGCTGCATGCAGCTGGTTTCGGCCTCACCGAGGGGCCCATTCCTCGATACATAGCCGCCTCCAGCGCCGGGAGGCGCCGGGAAAATCAGCTACGTGAGCTGATTCTCAAACCCCCCCTTTGCTATCCCCCCCTTTCGCCCGACCCGAAAGGCGCCCAGGAACCCTCGGGAGGGGGGCCATACACGCGAGTAAGTGTGACGAGGGGCGGGGGGCTTAGAAGATTTACAGAAACCCTACCAAGCAGCACTTGGCATTCTGCCACGCCTCCGTGTGCCAGGGGTAATTACGGTGGCGGATTGCAGTCGGCATTGCTGCGCACTTACCTTCACAAAGACGACAACAGCAGTGACGCAGTCCGTCGAGGTGACCTTGAAATGGCCGTCAATGTCATGGTGCCAGAGCTCGTCCAGAGTGGGTACATGAACATCGTCGGCATCGCCAGCAAGGTCGGGAAATTGTTCATGTTGTTGCTCTTCCAAGTGCTGTCTCCCCCTGTGTTCAAGAAGCCCTTCAGACCCACGGGAATTACTGCTTCTGTTGTGTTCCCTCTTATCCTCCTTGGCTTTTTCTACCGGCGGAGGCGCAAGATCGAAGAAGCTCTTCAGACAGAGCAGACTTGCAGAAGAAATCTATTCGAGCACGTTGAGCAGTCTTCCGAGCATTGCCAAATGATATTTGGATTCGGGTGCCAAGCTGTTTTCGTGGAGCGGTTCGAGGGTGCCATCAAGGCTTACAACAGATCCGTCATCGAGAGGTTGCAGGTGAGCACAAACAATGTTTATTACGCCAAGTGGCTGGCTACTGTGACGGTCGGATTCTATACTTGCCTCGGTGGTTGGCAGATACTGCACGGATATCTATCTACGGGTATATTCTTGGCCAATGCCGCAGCTATTCACACTATGGGCGAAATTTGGGACGGCATCTATACCAGCTTGCTGGAGGTAGCGATGGCAACGCCAGCCCTGAAATTCACGACTAAGTTGATGAACCTGCCCACAGATGCAAGACAGCGCATGGCGTTTCAGCAATCGTGCTCCCGGAGGACGATCGAGTTGATGAGCGAGAAGGAAACTGGACTCAGCCCCGTGGAGCTTGACATCCCAGATAGGCTGCCCTTGCAGGTCAGGCAGACCAACGGCAGCATCGTGGAGTTTGCCCAGGGGACTCTGACCGCCGTCGTCGGCCAGTCTGGCAGTGGCAAGGCTGCCTTGCTGCGGGTTCTTGGCGGCGTCAGGTTCCCTGGATCGTTCACGCTCGACAAGTTCTTCATCCCGTCGCACCTGCGGCTGGTGCACATCGACGCCACGCCGCTCCTGTTCCGCGGCACCCTCCTGGAGAACCTCACGTTCGGGTGCCAGAGCAGCATCAAGGCGGACGCGGCGGATCTGCTGAATCGCTCAGTGAAGGTGTGCAGGAGGCTGGGTGTGCCCGAACGCCTGCTCACTTCAGAAAAGTTGACCCAGGAGGCAGCGAATTGGACGGAGGCTTTGTGTCAGAACGAGTGCCAGTTGCTGTCGCTCGCGCGAGGGATCATCGCTAATCCGCACGTGCTCGTCCTGCACCTGCCCGCGATGTTGTTTGACAACGCGACCGCGAATCGTGTCCTGAGGCTCTTGCGAGAGTTCGTTGACCTGAAGGGCGTTGAGGAGGACCCGCTGATGTTCAGCCTGAGGAGGCCGCGCACCTGCATCTTCTCGGCCGCGCGCATGCACGGCACTGGGATAGCCGACCACCTCGTGTTCTGCCAGCGCGGGGCCTTGACGGAAGTGCGAGAGGGCGAGGAGGCCTGGGAGGCCCCCGAGCTACTGAATGCGGCCCGCCGCATCTCCAAGTCCAGTTTCGTGGACACCGACTCGAGCTTCTTGGAAGGGTCTGCGCTTTGACTCCCGGTGGGGAGAGCGCGGGAGAGGGCGTGCGCGCGGGTGACGCCGTTGCCCCGTCGAGAAAGATTGCCAGGGGCCCGACTTCGTCTCCACCGCGTGGTTTCCTCCCTTCCGTCTCCCTTCCTCCTCGCCCGAGGCGTAGGGAATATCCCAGTTTTGTTGCCAGTATGTTCACTTGCATCTTTAGTGCTGTGCACTCCCCCGCGGGCACTTCCGTTCCGTTCCGCTCCCTCCCCCGCCTGCCTCCCTCCGGTTCCCCTCGTCCTCCCCGCATCCGGCGTCCCGCCCTGGCTCTGCCCTCCTCCTGTATCGCGCCTCCCTCTCCCTATACTCCCTCCTCTCTTCTTCGCCATCTTCTCGCCTATCACCTCCCCGTCCATCATTCCTCCTCTGGCGAATTTCGCGTATGCGCGAGTGACCCCTCGCCAGAGTGACCTCTGGGGCGGGTCCACAGGGGTCCCCCCCAGCACAGGCCTGCACGCTTGGCTTTGGTCGCCCTGAGACACGCTAAAGCTGCGCACTGCAGGTCATGATTGCCGACGTTGCGGAACAGCAATGCGACATCGCGAAAAATCACGACCAGAGCCTCTTACCCCCTATCGTTCTGGAGCATGTCGAGCTGGATCGATCTATGAGGACCCCGGGTCCCGCAACCTTGCGAAAACGCTTGGCGCGAAAGAATCGGGGCGTCAGACGGGGGGATTAGAACGGGGAGGGGTCGGGGCGAAAATTGCGAGGTGGGGGTGCCCAAGAACAGTATACCTTATAGTCCCGATGGGGGTTTCGCAGGCGGCGGGGCGTCAGACGGGGAGGCTAGAACGGGGGGGGCGGGGCGAAGATTGCGAGGTGCGGCCCGAAGAACAGTAGTCTCGATGGGGGCCATTCGGGCCGTGGGGCGTCAGACGGGGGAGTTGGAACGGGGGGTGGCGGCCGGGCCGAAAATTGCGAGGTGAGGGCGGGGTGTCTCGAGCACAGTAGTCCCGATGGGGGCCTCTCAGGCGGTCGGGTGTTCTCAGGCGGTGTGGTGTCAGAACTTGTTTGTTTTCAGGGTGGAGGGAGCCTTCCCACCTCCCCCATGCCCCCTGCTGCGCGCCGCCAATCTTTTCCTGACGCCGCGGGATCGTTTAACCTTGAAAGGTCGGCCGCTTCCAAAAGGTAAGATCTTTCAACATGGACCGACTCTGGGTCGCCGGCGGCGTTCAACGTGGAACTCCGGTGACGGGGCCGCCGCCGCGGTCTACACGACGCCAACCTACAGTGAAGACCCATGCCAAGAAACACCCTGCTTGCCTTCAGGGGGCCCTGGGTTCTTTTTCGATGGTTTTGCTCTGGAAAGCATGGCGTTCCCACGGCAACAATAAATTCACGTCCTGGGGTATCAGGGGGTGGGTTTATTGTGGAAGGTTTCTTGTGGAAGGGCCCCTCTTGTACTGCCGTTAGCAGCGAGCCCTGAGATCCTGACGTTGAACTTTTTCGCAGCGAGCGTTCTCGCCTGGTTTCGGGCCCGCGACGACGACGACTGTCGCCCCCGTCGCGCGCTGCGGCGTCGCCGCCGCCGCCGCCGTCGTCGTCGTCGTCGTCGTCGTCGTCGTCGTCGTCGTCGTCGTCGTCGTCGTCGTCGCCCCCACCTTGTGCTCGCCGCCGAGCGCCCCCGCCGCCGCCCCGAG